AGAGAGAGGGAGACACAGAATCCAAAGCAGACTCCAGGCTCTGAACTGTCAGCACAGAGCCCGATGCGGGGCTCGAAACCACAAACTGCGAGATCATGACCTGAGCTGAAGTCTGACGCTCAAGCAACTGAGCCACCCAGGCACCCCAAAGTTATTTGATTCTTAACCCATCATTCCTTCCATAAAAATTCTGAGCATCGTTCAAAGCTCAACCCGTGAAAACAGTTCCAATGTCACCTTCTTACACTGAGCATCTCCTCTGAATTTTTGGTCTTTTATATCATTTGCCCCACAAGGTGCATGACTGCCTCAATAGTGAACGCTTTGAAGAAAGAAACTATGACATGCCTTTTTTTCTTTTCAGCACTCCATTATGTACAGGGGATCCTGGCAGGCTAGTATCAAAATTAAATTTACATTAATCTGCCATGGAATACAATATGAAGAATAAATCTTTGTTGATATGGGCCCATTCATTTGGAGTCAATGCTAATTCAGCCATGCAACCATTTTGCACTGTCCTTGAAAAATGGGTTTGGTTGACAAATTCAGCAGTAAGAATGACTATGTATTAAGATTCTATACTAGGTCACAAACTTTCCTGGGATGCAAAGAGGAACAAGACAGCCTTTCCTCCAGAAACATGAATGAGGGCAGAATAGCTTTCTACTACCTCTATGTATGTAATCAGTGTGCCAATTATAATGAATTCTCACCATTACTTAAAGAGAATGGGGTAAGGCATATTCTTGACAAATTCTTTATCCAGTTTGTTAAAATAAATGTTTTTATTACTTTCTCATTTATAGATAGAAACATATGCCATAATTGAGATGTAATTGATTTGGACCATTCTAATTAATACAAATTACAGAAATGTTTCTGTAATTAACACTCACAAGTGATTATTGAAATTATTATTCTGTTCAATGAAAGTATGGAAATTTCTATGTAAAGTTTGCCTCTTGGCATATTGTGATTATCTGTTACTTAAAACCTCAAACACTATTAGGCCAGTGCATAATATTTGGTATGCTGTTAAATCAGAAAGAAATAACTGTAAGCTTTATATGTAGTTGTTTTCTATCTACCATCATGAAGCCAAGGATTGACTGCAAGATTTCCAAGTAAATAATGCCTATTTAAATCTTGAGATATGTCATACCCACAATCCATTGAGATTGGGGATCTAGCCCAATGGAGATCCAGCCATTATCTCAGCTATTTTGGCAACCACGTGATAGCTAATGGAATTAACTTGGCATGCCAGTCTTTGAAGTTATTTATAAAACTGACGCAATGATTGGAGAAGTTTTTACTCCCCCAAACCAAGCTCCATTTCCAGTGAATGGGTGTGCTCATGGACAACCTGACCCCCGAAATCGAGCCCCGATGAAATGGGTCAGTGGACTCCCAACGTCGCTGTCAACTGGAAATGACCCAGGATGGAGGGAGAGCAGGGGCTCTGCTGTTTGGCTCTGCTGCTTCCCATCCATGTTGAATCACTGGCGGGTCACAACTTTAAGAATCCTCATCTCCCATTTGCAAAAACAATACTTCCCACCCTGTCCTAGGACACTGTGAGGCTCAAATGAGAGAATATGGGAGTGTTTATAAGTGAACAGCCTGAGGCACTTTATTAGTCTATCAGTCATTTGGTGCATGAGAACTCAAAATCATGCCTCTGGTCTTGCGGTGGTGCGTTTAAGGGGGGGGGGGGTATAAATTTATGATTAAACAACCTCAGAGTCACTCTCCCCTCACTCCCTTTGGATAGAATTTCTTTCCTGATTGCCCAAGTGCTTCATGGGACTGCTGGGGCCCTGCAGGACTCTGAGGTCAAATCGCCAGCTCAATCACTTGCTACCTGAGGGCCTTAATCAAGTACTGAAACTTTTTAAAGCTTGTTTCCAGATCTATGAAATGATGATAAACTAATATCTCACAGAACAGTGGGAGGATGAGAGGAGATAGTCATAGAATGGTATCACGCCGGGCACATAGCCAGGGTGAGGATCGCTGTTAGACTCACTGGCATCTGCAGCGAATGTTGAGAGGCGAACATCCCACAGAGTTAGACCTGGTTTCAAGTCCTGGCTCCCTCTCTGACACTCTGTGATCCTGGATAATCCACTCAACCTCTCTGGAGCGCAGTTACTAATCATAAAATGAGCATGGTAATATCTATTTCATGAGGTCTACACAGAGATCACGTAAAGTGGTATAGATGACCGTGCTGTGCTTATTACAAAGCATAATGGAAACGCATAGACTTTTTACTTTTTCCATACAAACACACAGGAAACAATTGCAAAGATTTTATTTAGCGGCTTTCTGTGCTTGGCACTTAGAAACAGTTCCGTGCATAAGGGCAAATTTTTTATACACCTTTACTTCATACATATTTTACATACCCTTTTTATTGCCCCCTTTTTTAAAATTCATAATATTGGATTCCCCACTAGGCACATAAATACATTTATCTACAACACCTCAAAACCAAAAATCTTAATAATATCTGTATTACTTGGTATTATTTGCATTTCCACACCACTTAAAAAGTTTAGCTTGCACCAAACTTTACTTGTTTTCTTAACATTAAAGGATTTGAGGGGAAAGGGAAAGATGAAGGAAAAAAACCCAAACTTCAAAATGCAATAAACTATTTGATAAAAATGGAGACCTAAGGGCAGGTGGAAGGATGCAGAAAGGCCCATCTGTAATTCCCTGGAACGTGACTGGATTTCTCCTGCCCCGGGGGTTGCGGGGCAGGCAATCCAGGTCAGGTGTCTGGATCTGGCATGCAGACGGCCAGGCCTCGATTTGTCGCCTCTGCTCTTGGTATCATCTGTCGGGATTATAACACCCTTCCTTCTTCACACTCCTGTTCCCCCTCCCCCGCCAGGCTTCGCGCTCTGGAATGGGCACTTCCCAGGCAGCGCACCCCTCTTCTGGATCATGCTGGTCAGAGCTGTGGGATCCAAGTGCATTCCTTGCCCGGGTCCTCTCTCCAGTGCCCTGACTCTGCACAGTGTCCCAGAGAGGCTTACTCCTCGGTAACGCCATGATTCTATCACCTGTAGGGGGGAGGGGGAGAAACGACCCCAAACCAATCTCCTCGGTGCGTTGTCACTCTCACCATTGCTCACACTTCCTCTCTCAGTCTCGCTCTCCGCCTCTCTCTTGCCCACTATTCCTTCTCCTTTCTCATTCGGCTACTCTTACTCCCTTTTCACAGGTACCACTGGGAACGTCAGCGATCGAACACAGAGTGAGGAGAGCCAAAGTTCAAAAGCCATCTTTTTCAGGAAGCCAAGTCCAGTTGTAGTGGTGGTGTCTGTCCACCCTTGTGGATAGGAGGGGTTCCAGGATACATGGTTCATTCCAGAAACAGGGTAAGCTGCAGGGGGGAAAGGTTGGCAGCTACTGCTGGCCCAGTCCATCTAGCGTTGTACATAGACCGATTCTTGGTGAAAGCACCCACCTGGGCCCCCCTCCACAGAGTTCGCCCAGTTCCAAGTCTGTGTGTGTGTATCGCTGTAGGTAAGTTTGTGTGCGAATATGTATGTGTGTGTGTGTGTGCATGCATGCACGCATGTATGTATGTATGTGTGTACGTATAGGTAGGTCTGTATTTGTGTGGGGGTAACTTTTTATGGCTGCTACATGCTAGCATCTCCCTTAACATTATTATAAAATGATAATTCAGTTTCTTCAAAGGCCACTCTAGAGTAGACAATGCTTTATAAAACTAAGGTTTGGGAAGGCAAGAGAATGTCCACTGAGTCGGAGATGATTCCACACGGTTAAGTATCCTTCAGTGGCTTAAAGGTCTTTTGTTCTTCTTCGGGATGTGCTTTCCTCCTCCAGAAAAAAAGAAAAAAGAAGAAAGAATACACAGTTCCCGTTTTTCAAAGGCGTTGGGCTCCCAAAGAGGAGGATCTGCCCGTGGAGACTGGGGCCCCGGCTCCGTGCTGTTCGGCCTGGCCATTAAACCATGTGCACGGACATCTGGGAGGAGGAGCCTGGGACCGCCCCGTACTGCCGGCCGTCACAGGTGTTAGTCGCCTGCTGGTTGTTGGGCGAAGGGCTAATCATGTGCATGCTGTGCTCCATCCCCGTGGGCAGGTACTGCCTCTCTCCAAAGGCCCCGTTGGAAGGAGAAGAACAGAGTAAAGTGCTTTGAGAGGCGCTCAGTTTTTCCGGGCTTGCAGCTAGCCTCGGAGAAGTGGGGAAATTGTATCCGTACAGATTGTAAGGGTTGTGGAGAGAGAAGGCGTTATAGGAGCTCTGCTGCATGTGGCTGCCCCCGAACATGTGTGGTGAGGAGGAGCTCGAGGCTGCATTGCCGGCCTGCATGACATACTGGAACTGGGAAGTGGGGAAGGACCCCAGCTGGCCACCGTAGGCTTCCATCTTGCTGTTGCTAGGCAACGAGGGAGGAGTCGGTATTCCTGAGATCAGGGATGGAGTCCTCTGAGGCATGAAGGTTTCGGAGGGCTGAGTGGCTGAAGCAGTGCCACTCTGGAGCCTGTTGTAGCCACTGTCACTCAGCCCCGGGTAGCTCTGCAAGGCAGCCATGTTGCTTCGGGCACATGGTGGATAATCAGAGAGGTTTAGATTGCACAGCTGGCTCTCTCGACAGCCCACGTTGAAAGTGTTGGGGGCCAGGTGAAATGTTGGAGGAGAACAGGATGGAGACAAAAGGTGAGAAGAAGCTGAAGGCGATGGTGTCCCAGTGCTGGAGGTGGTCGGGGAAGTGCCTGTGCTGCCCCCTGAAAAATAAAAGGTAAATACCATTGAGACAGAGGCCCGTCCAGGCCAGAGGCAAGCCATGCAGGAGGTACCCTCAAATGTCCCAGACGGGCTGATTTTTACAGAACCACAGCTTTCTCTTAACTCAGCAGACCTAAGTGATTCTATCTGTGCACACATACATAGGCACACGCGTGTGCACACATACATAGGCACACGCGTGTGCACACACACACACTCTCCAAAAAAGACAGAGATGACACAAAAGAACACTAAACTTTTGTGTGTAAATGCCTTCAAAGTCTTCTTTAAAAAAAAAAAAAAAAACCCTTCCAATATTCACTTTGCCACTTCTCACTTGAGGCACGAAGAAGAAACAAATTCACTTTCCAGTAAGACCTCTGGTACTCAGCATTAAAATCCCCCCACAAAACTTCTTCCGTTCTCAGTGGAAAGGCATGAAATATATGTTTTCACCAGGGACTGTTGCAGACTTTGCCATATTTAGTCTTCCAGGTAAAAACACAGCATACCAAATCTCAGGACCGTACCCACAGAGGAAATGGGGCACTGGGTCAAGGTTGAGGACTGAGAGGGGCCCAGGTAGTGGGAAGGGAGGCACTGGCCTGAAGTTCTGTCATATGAGAGGTATTATGAGTACAACCGGAAGAGCTAAGCAGAGCTAACCTGTAACTAAATCATCATAATCCAGAGGGTCTGCCAATCTCCCTCTGTAAGACCCTGTCCAGTCTCAGAGACTGGAACAAGGACTGTAAATGTAGTCTGTGGATTTGGGATATTTGTGAGGGCAGGGGTTCAGACAGTCACAAAGTCAGGAGGCCTGCGCCCTCACAGCTCTGCCACACGAACCACCCCCCCGCCCCAGCTGACCCTGAGCACATCACTTATCTTCTCTGGGTTTGTTTCTTTATCCAGAAGATGAGAAATTGAATTGGATAAGTTAGGAGAAACTACAAGCTTTAAGTGACAGGATCCCACCTCAGACCAACTAAACAGCAATCAAATGATTCTAATGTGCAGCCGGGGGTGAAAAGCAATGATAATACCCAAATTCCTTATTTCAAAGTGCCCAGAATAGCAATCCTTAAACTTTAAGGGCCATGAGAATCACCTGGAAGGCTTGTTAAAATAGATTGCTGACTGTCCCCACCCACCACCCCGAGTTTCTGATTCTACAGGTCTGGGGCAGGGCCTGAGAACGTGCATTTCTGAGATTGATGCTGTTTACTGGCATAGAGACCACACTTTGGGGTAGAGGAACTCCAGCTCCCTTTCATCTCCTAAAGTCCCCGTATCTGTGTTTGAAAGAGTTGCTTCTCTGACGTGTGGATATTAGAACTGGATTGGCGGCTGATGCACCAACAGATGAAGGGCCAGTTCAACCCAACCTACTTCAAATGTGTTCTCAGAAGCCAAAAAAAAAAAAAAA